TTCAGCGTGGGGGTGGGGGTACGGTCAATGTGGAGATTCCCAGATTCCACGCCAAGAAATCCATTCTTTGTGATTTCCCCTGGAAATCCAGGACGTTGAGGCCTTGAATGGCAAGCCCGGGGCCAGTTCAGAAGTCTTGCTAGATCAAAGGACGGACAGGAAGGCTGGAGTGTGCAGACAAGGAAATGTGGTCGCTGGCTGGAGCCGGGCAATTACATATGGCACATGGCACCGTAGGTTGAGCAACTGAAGCATAAGCTTTCCACCACCATACCCGCATACCCGGGCCACCTTCAAATCAAACAAGGAGGACTCTTTTTCAGAAGGGTTCCTTGAAGGATACGGGTGATCTGTTGGTGCGTCTTTTACCAACAGCGGCTTGGTGAAATATGGGTGTGTGATGGTGTGTGTTTTTTGAAGGGGACCCCATGGTGGTGTTCCTTTTCATTCCGTTTAAACAAGCCAACAAGGGGTGTTCCCTCCCCCCCAAAAACAAAAGAAGAAAGCAAACACAACTGAAGTAAATACACAGCAAATCGTGGTCTTCCGGTTGTTTCCGTTTAAAGCAAGTCCCAAAGGGGTTCCGACCCCCCAAAACTAAGACACGGCCATGTGCCGCGCTTGAAAAACGCCGCAGGTTTGCCTGCTGGACCTTGGAGACTGCAAGGCGCGCATAGCGCGATGGGCCGCGGTGGATGGCCTTCAGTGGCCCAGACCGATTTTGGTTGGGGGAGGTCCCTTTTAGTGGGGCCTATACTTCCTTTCTTCTGTTTGTTTTGGTGGGGTGGGGGGGAGGGAGAAGAAATACTTCTTTTTTTTTTTTTGGGTGGGGGGGGGGGAGAAGAATGGCCACAGAGCTTGGTTTGTTTGGGCCAATCTCCAGTCGAGTGAATGGTGGGAGGCCTAAAGATCTCGCGGCATGGCGCAGGTGCCGCAGCTTCCCTGTGGCCACGCATTCCACTTTGAGTGTGCCCGGGCCTCGGCGAACGTGGCCCAGCGAGGTCGGGCCTTCGGGAGTTGAGGGCCAGGAGGGGTGCTTTGGGGTGCTCAATTTCACACACGGCTGTCAATGTCCACTGAAAGGCAAAGCAGGAATTGATCAATGGATCATTTTGCACAGGCTCAAATCCACCAGCATCTTAGCGCCCAGCAGCCAAGGGCTGTGTTTTTGCCGCCTTTTTGGTTAGTTTGCGTAAGAATCGAAGGCAGCCAGCGCTGTCAAAAGGGGTGTTTTATGCTGACAAGGTTTGAAAGGGGCCGCTCTACTCGGATTTCCTAAACGTGCTCGAGAAGCATTGGAACCCACCAGGGGCAAATTGTGTTGACTGTTTTCGGGGTTGCTTGAGGGCAGGCGCCAGCGGCTTGGATGAGCACCCCATGTTCACCACTCAAGGGGTCGGGTCTCAAGGGACTTAAGTGGCCGTGTGGGTTCCAACCTTTTAGCACGCTTTAGGAGAGCCTGAGCAAGCACCAGCTCCAAATGGCCCATGTGCGAAGTATTCCAGTAAGGGTCCATTGGGGAACTCACCAAACTCCCAGAAAAGGAATTCATTTGACGGGCCTTGTGTTGACCTGTGGGCGCTTGGCCAAGCCTCTCCCAGCCGTGAGGCTTGCAAGTGGCTCACGGGCTGTTCAGGAAGATGTCCTATCTGCCAGGTACGCATCGATTGGTCCGGGTGGGGGGGGTTGGAGCAGAAAGCCACCCGGCTTTGGCATCAGCTGGCATTTTCCCTCCATGTTTGAAGCTTTCTTTTTTGATCTGAAAGATGTGGCGGGCCCTTTCCTGCGTGGCACCTGGCATGCGCCCTTTGCAAAAATAATCTGCTTCCTGTGCGACTCTTGTGTTCTGGTGGTTCCGTAGCAATGTTACCCACTGGCTACTTGCAAGCCAGAGGTTGCTGGCTGGTTCCCAGCCGTCTGGGCTTTCTCGGCCTGGGCTTAGTGGATGCCCACTGAAAGTTGAAGATTTAGGGGATCTGAGGACAGCCCAGGTACTCCAGTTTGCTGGCAAGCCATCTTTTGAAAGTGGCGACAGTGCCAGAGGGCACCAGAGGCGCCAGACCAAAGACGCCAGGTCCTTCGAAGCGGCACAAAAAGGTTCATGAGTTTGAGGTGGCCATGGTGTGTGACCGTCAGCAGTAACTAGGCCCTGCATGAACCGGCAGAATGCACATAGACGTAGAGTACTCCGCGAACACCTGCTGAGTCTGAGGTGTTCAGACCAGTAGCGTAGACATTTGAGAAGAATTGAAGCAACACCGCAGCTTCGACGGGAAGCTTATATGTCATAACTATCCGCACAGGTGGGAAGAGATACCCATTGTCACAAATCACCAGCTGGCACGTGTAAAGCCGTCGTGCGAATCTGCAAGAATCTGCACAAATTACTGCTTGAAAGCAATTCGAAGCTTTGTTCTAGCCTATATTATTGATACGCCCCGGGTGTGGCGGCATGGCATGTGGCTTGTATTTTGACGGCCTTTGGGGTGGAAGCACAAAGCACTTCGAGATTCGTTTGATTCGCAACCGGGAAGCGGCCAGGTCTCGTTGGTGGATCTCCCGGCTCCGCCGCAGATGATCAGTTCCTCCAGCGACCCTGCACCCGCAATGGCGTCTGGGCTGGGCTTTGGGTCGCTTTGGGTGGCTTTGGGGGCTTGGGGGGGCTTGGGGGGGCTTGGGGGGGCTTGCGGGGGCTTTCGGAGTTTGGGCCTTAAAAATGTCACCCCTTTGCCCTGTGGTTTAAGCAAATGTTGAATGAGAAGGGACGCTATTCTCGGCCGCGGCACTTGGGAGGTACCTGGAGGACCCCGTGTCAGATGCCATGTTAGTGGGAGGGAGTGCAAGTTTTCAGGATCAAGGGGAAGGAGAGGGGCCATGGCAAGGCTCCTGTTTTGTTGTTTGTTTCGGGCTTGGCTAAATATTGAACAGAATCAGAAATGAATGGACCCCAGATGTGGGCCAATAGGCTAAAGACCAGCCGCTTTCCTGTGCAAGTCGTCCCCGCTCGTTCTGCGTCCCGAATTTCAAGCCCCTCCCCTCCGCACCCCGGGACGTTCCAGAGCAACGCGCGCGAAGGTCTTGCTTGGTTAAGGAACTGGTTCGCAAAAAGCCCGACTTGTCCAGAAGCCTATCGGATCGTTCGCGAGGTAAGTTCGGATGCACAGAGTCCGGATGGGCCTGAAAGCCCCAACTGATTTGAATCGGGCAAGCACTAGTATAGGGTGCAGTCAGTACAGATTTGCACGGACGGGGGACAAGGGGCGGGTTGAAGCACTCACCCTGGCTTGCCTTTTGGGCCATTTCCCTCGGCAAGTGGGACCCCCGGACCGGCTTCTACACTTGGGTCTGGGGGTGCCATTTGGAGAAAACCCAGGGGGGTCAAAAGGCAAACCTCGACCTGAGATTAAGGCCCCTTGTCCAGCCATTGCTGTTTCGCGGTGCATGGTCGAATTCGTGAGCTGTATATAGAGAACCGGAGTGGTACATAGGAGACCGCGAGGGCTGGATCTGAGAGTTTCTCAAGCGGTTTTTTGTTGTTGCTTTTCGCGTTGCTTGCGTGTCGCTGGGTTTCACGGAATTTGATGCCAGCCCGATTGAGGCCACGAGGGGTGCCGGAGGCACCCCTGGCTCCGAGAAAAATCATCTCAAGACGAAGTGGAGCGAGCGGAAAGCCATGGCTCGGAGCCAGGGGCAGTTTCACGTCAAATATTTCCTGCCCGGCGCTTCGCGCCTCCTGGCGTCCCCTGTGGCGATCTTTTCAGACCCAGCCGCTCCGCGTGGGAAGTAAAAAACACCTGTGGGTCTGGACCGTCCAAAATTTACCTTCGCGGAGCTTCTGGGAGAGGAAAGGGGCCCTGACCCGCCGTCAGGGCCGAGTTTTGTGCATGCCACCGCAGACCTTGCGAGGCTGGGACGGATAAGCTTCTTTCACCCACACAGCACCCGTCAAAGGAATTCACCCAGCACCCGCATTCCCGCACTTTACGCTCCACGGCCTAGTCGGCCGCGGCAGGTGCCCGCTCGGCCGAGGTTGACCGGCTTTGCTGACCCGTCCTCGCAACTCGCAAGGGTCAGCCCTCTGGCGCAAGGGGGCTGCAGGCCGGAGCCGCCAAAATCTATGCCCGGGCTGCACTTTCTGGACCCCCGGGAATGCCGAAGTTCAGTCGTGGGTTGTGGCAATCTTCCGTGGCCTGCAGCTCAGTGGATTTCAGCCATTTGATCCAACCTTTGAAGCAAAAAACAAGCGCTTCGGATGGGAGGGACGAGGGGACCAGGCCTTGGGCGGGTGCAATGGGACCAAGTGCATTGAAGACCCTTGACATCATCTATGGGGGGTTTATGCCACCAACATGTTTTTCAGGGTGTTCCCCGCTAGAGCTCATAGGCCACGTGGACATTTGCAAACGACCAATCAGTATTTCTCTTGGATTGAGTCACTGGCCCCCACTGCGCCCCGAACACAGAGGTCATGCAAGGCATCTCCGCCACCCACCGCGCATGTCCCCCCCCCAATGCCTCGCGGTTGGCCACCAGTCACTGTCAGGCACCGTAAGTTTTAAAAATCAAGGTCGGCCAGGTTCTTTAAGGTTCTTCTCATATTGGCAAGTGGTCCCCAACGCTTGAAGAGAAGCTGATGAGCATTTCCCCGGCGAGTTTCAAAAGGAAATGGTCACTGACGATTTTTGACGTGTTCCTCCATCTTAGATCCCACTTAGCACCCTAGTAGGTGACCACAGGGTGTCCATTTGGTTTTGACAAGGGGGGTGTCCATTGGTTACTTTTTGTGCGAAGGAGAAGCACAGGGTGGGTGGCCCTCCCCCCCAACCCGCCTCTGGAGAGTCCAAGCCATCGCGTCGCTCACACTGTTGGCTCCAGAGAAACCGGGCGCTGGGGCCAGGGTTGCACCCTGCAAAACAGACAGTTTCTACGCTTTGCAGGGTCTCCCTTTGTTTTTCTCCCCCAAACCCTAAAGCTGCCCAAATGACTGCCTTCCAGTCGTATTTGGTTTGCCACCCTTTTTGTTTGGGGGGGGGCCCAACGGAACCAGAGGCACCTGGCAGCGCCATGTGGGTCTGGCGGTCCTTGGGCTGTGACCAGGCGGCTGAGCTGCCGGCCAACGCGCTGGCGCCACTAGGCGAGGCTTTTGCGCCACCGGCCACCCAGCACCAAACTGGGGGGGTGTGGGGGTTGCACGCAAGTGCGCAGCAGGGGTATGTGTCATCATGGGAAAACACCCCCACCAGAAAAGAAAGAGAAGCAGAAAGCAAACTGGGGGGAGGGTGTTTTCTTTTGGGGAAACCCCTTGCAACCACCCCCTAAAAAGGGTACCCAACCACCTGGATGAGGCTTCATAACGGAGAAAAAAAAGGTGGCGGACTGCATGTTGCCCGGACTTATTTCGCCTTGGGCCGACTATTTGGCCACGCCTCGGCGCGCAAGTTGGCCGCATGTTTGGCCTTCGCCTGGGACCTTGGGAGGGTCCCTCGGATCCCACCTCAATGGAAGGAAAGGCTGCTTTCTTTTTTGGGGTTTCCCAAGGCGTCCAGTCGCCATATTAGAGATCCAGGGTGTTTTACCACCATGTGTTTACGCTTTACGATATGGTTTCCTGTGGTTGCTTCGTGGTATTTGGAAGCATTGCCCACCTTGATTTGATCCTGTGACCCTCAGGCATTGCTTGGGGCAATGGGGCACCTCTTTGAACATGCCCGTGACAGTGTGCTTTTAGATGATGGGCGACCCCTTTGTGGTTGTTTCAAAGGGATGTTTCAAAGGCAGCCAACAGGAAACCACCCACTTTGGTTCTTCTATTGGGGTTTGTGTGAACTCTTTTCGAGGTTCTGCAAGAGGACACCAACAGCAAATCACAATTTGGTTTAGACCCTGTTGCGGATTTTTCAACCAACAGGAAACCACCCAACTTTGGGGTTCTAGTCTTTTCACAATTCTTGGGGTCCCCCTAGTGGATGGATGAAATCCTGCACCATCTAAGAAGCCCCAGAATGTTGATTCCCCTGTAAATACCAACAAAACAATCAATGGTGTCTCATGGTTGCTTAGGTGCAGGATTTCGCCACAGTATCCTTGGCACATGCCAGGCCGGCGCTGCAGCCGCGATGGTGGCGACAGGTCCGACAGCGGGGTCAGCGATGTCTCCGCCCTACTGCCGTTGGACTCGCAGATGACGAGCTGGAACTACGTGGTGCCCGAAAAGGTCAAGGACTCCAAAGGAGACTCCCCGGAAGAACCCGGAAGCCCAGAATTGCGGCAGACTCGGTTCAGCGTGTGGTGTGGGTTGAACTTCAGGTGTTCGAAAAGGCGCGGAGGAGTCAGCACCGAAAAACAGAGGCACACGAACCTTTTCTGGTTCGCAAGGCTTTTGGGGGAAATCACACGGCGCCTTGTTCGGCCTGTGTTTGCAACTGCGTGCGTTCCCCCAGGATGGTCCGGGATGGTGGTCTAGTTGTCATGTGCATACGGTGGAAGTCCGGTTTTCATGTTCTACCCCCTTTCCAACAGTCATGGAGGTGGAGAGCGTGGCTCCCAAGGAAAGTCGTCTTCCAATGCCTTTTCACCACCCTGATAGGAAAGTAACACAGAGTTGGCTGAGCCCTTGTCAAGGGAACAAGCTAAAAAGGACAAACACACAAACACAAACCAAGAAACACGAAGCAAAACAGCAAATACACACACACACACACCACCAAAAAAAAGTGAAATCCCAGTTCTTCCAGGAGACACATACCGTTTGGGCACCCCCAGCAGCGGTGCTTTGAGCGTCGCGGCGTGGCGCCTGGAGCCGCTGGGGGATCTGCGGCTCTGCGTCCCCGCGGCCGTGGAGCTGCAGGCGCCGGGGCCAGTGGTGCTGGACGTGGAGCACCGCGACAGGCGCGGGCTGGGGGTGGGCGGGGACGGGCGGGGAGCGCTGGGCGGCGGGGACGGGGCGGGGGGAGGCGAAAAGCAAGGGAGACCTGGGGGGGGGGGAAATCCACGACTTTTTGGAGGGAAAGAGGAAAAACAACAAGTCTTTTTTGGAGGGAAAGGAACAAATATATATATATATATATATATATATATATATATTTGGGGGGAGGAAAAACAAAATCAACCAGATTGTGCCGTGCACAGTGAACGGAGTTGGTTTGTGCGGTGAAGAAAGGGCCGCTGGTCAGACGCTTTGGCGCCAAAGGGCAAACTGACCTTGGTTGTTCCCAGCCATCCGGTTCCTGAGCTTTTTAGGCTTTTAGTGTTTAGTGGTTCCATTTAACCCACTAAAAGTTAGCCACTTCTAGTGGGGGATCTGGCAGCCCAGTACCTTCGATGGGTTTTTCGTTTCTGACAGGAACTTCCCCCCGTTCAAGTCTGTGCGGGACGCCATCAAGCGCCTGGTGGCCAAAGGCGGCGGCAGCTTCTGGCGCCTCGGGGGCTCGGGGCTTTTTTGGCCGGGCATGGCCAACGAGTTCGTCTCATGGGACGTGGCTGGTGTTGAACCCATGGCTAGGTCCGCCAGTAGTGCCCTTTTACCAGTTTTTTTGCGGGGTTCCCCTACTAAAATAGACCGTAGAAAAAAGGGTACCCTTTTTCTAACCTCTCTACTGGAGGACCTAGATGGTGTTGAACCCACGGTGTCAAGCCCATGGTGTTAAGCCCATAGGTGTGGTTTTTAACCGGTTGGTTGGAACCAAATTATTTGTGGAGTGGCTGGTGGCCCATGGTGTTAAGCCCATAGCTCACAGAAGCAAGAGCCGTTTGGCAACAGAGAACTGACCCCTGGCTTCATGCCCCAAAGCGAATCAAGCTTTCCTCCTTGTGTGTTTCACTGGGCAACCTGGTGTTTCTGAGCGGGCAAGTAATTCTATCTGTTGGTTTTAAGCAGCGGTGGAACTCGTTGGTGTTAAACCATGATTGACCAATGGGCTCCGGCAAGTTGTTGAGTTAAACGTAACATGTTGTAGAAAGGTGCTGATGTTGATGACGTTAATCTAGCTTCTGAAGCGACACATAAGTGGCATTGATATTCACCCATGGGTGTGGACATGTGCCTGGGTTGGTTTAGGTTGACCCCCACTTTCTGCGCATCCTGGCGTGCACCCTCCAAAACGTGAGTTCAAGTACGCATTGGACGGAGGTCAACCACTTGAGATTCTCTCCGTGCTCAAAAAACCTGAAAGGGTTTCCTCAAACCTCCATCTAGCGGGTTTCCTTTGACATTTGCGGATTCCCCCAAGCAAGTCCTTCCTTCGGGTTTCTCATCCCCGGCCAAACCTTATCGCCGAGGTACCGCGTGCCCACGGCGGCAGCCCGGCTGCGGGAGGAAGCGGCGGCAGAGGTGCGCTGCACCGCAGACAAGGCGGGGGCGTGGGGGGGGAGGGGTAACCCAGGGAAACTGGGTTCACTAAAAGGGGGTGCTAGGGTGTCTTTGTTTTTTTTGGGACCAGCACCCCCTCCATGTTTTATTGGAAACATCAAATGGTGGTGTTCATGGTGGTGTTTGCTTCTCGAATCGCCAAATAATGGGTACCCTCCCACCAGCTAACATGGAAGTGCACAAACCCCTGCAGAAAGACTACTTTCCTCTTGAAAAGTGCCTTTTTGCACTTCCATGTTAGTTGGTGGGAGGGTACCGTATGGGTACAAAAGGCAAATGCCAGCCCTACATTTCCCCCAATTCAGCCGTGGCCATGGCCGTAAAGAGTGGCCACATGGCAGATGCGGGTTCTCATAAAATAGGCTGCTCGTCGTTTCGAAGGTTGGACCCCCAACAATGGCAATTCCCGCTGAATTTCTGCCGCTGGGTTTGTAGACAGTTCTGTTTCTTCGGCCTCCCTTTTGCGTTTCCTCTACCTTTCTTTGCATGTTTGCCCCATTTCCCTTTTGCTTTCCAAGCGCATAATTTGATAGAAACGAGCAACGATGTTCCCAAACATTGTTTTGCTCAACAGTGAGTGCTGCTGTCCAGGATGCTTCAAGGATGGTTCGAGGATTTCCTGCCTTTTCTTTCGAGGATGCTTCTCTTGGCCTTTTGGCCCCGTGCGTCCGCATTGGGGCCAAGGGCCAAGCGCCTTTCCACCCAACCAGGGCCAAGTGCCTTCCACTCGGACCTGATTCTTCCCCCCAAACCGCGAGCTGCCCAATGCCCAAAGACCCGCGAAGAGGCACAGTGGCCCAGCTGCATCTTCGGAGTGCACCTCGGCCTCGCACGGAAAAGATCGCTACGAAGGTGGGGCGGCAGGCGGCAGCAACCAAAACGCCGAAGTTTGAGCAGTTCTGAAGGCGTTTTGGTTGGGCTGAGCTTGGAGGTTGGTTCTCTGTTGGCGGCTGGATCTACCAATGGACCTTGGGCACCCCGGAACTTTCGGTTTGTGGTTTTTGGTCTTATTTTTTTGTCGGGAGGGGAGAGGCGCTGGGAGGACACGGTGTGCCTTTTGACAGCCAACAGGGGCTGGACTTCATTTGCCTAGGTCAAAACGGCGCAGTTTCATGGCAATCGAAGCAGGCTTCCACCAGCGATAGTGCAGTCAGTGGTGTGGAAAACTTATTCTCCAAAAGAAAGAGACCAACGCTAGTGGCAGTGTTTTCTCGCAGGAATCCGTGACGTTGATTCTGAGGGACCCAGAAAGTGCCTCCTATACTCATGTCCTGACTCAAAATCCCCCAAATGTGAATCATCAGTTCTGGTTCTTTTGTAAAGGAATCTGGCCGCCGAACAACGACCACAACCCCTAATGGAGAACTGTGGCTCCCTACACTTCCATTTGCTTAAGCCGCCTGGACAACTATTTCCAGTAGTGACAGATCCCTTTGAAACCAACAAGGGGAAAGAAGCATAATATTCTCAAGCAACGGGCAGTACACTTTACGTTTCTCATGATTTCTCACATCCCTTGTCTGCCAAGTTTGGACGCTTATAGCCGGACTAGCGGTCCCCACGGCACGTGAGCAATACCGGTACCTGGGATCTGAATCGCACCTTGCTGGCCCGGCCACGTGTACTGTCCCAGTAGCATCGCGCTACTCGGAGACTCCATACCGTCGCCGGTGATTTGGGAAGCTCATGTACAAATCAAGTGGGGTGTTTTTTCTGGGCCCAAGCAATCTGGAATCTACAAATTGAGTGGCTTGATATTTTGTTCGGCCCAAGCGCCGTGCGCTGGCCATCAACGGCTCAGGACCTTAGGCGCGCAGCTTCGGGTGGGGGTCCTGGTAGACAAGTCCTCCACTTCGCTGCCCTCGGTGAACGAGACGGAGTTCCAAACCATGGCGCTTCGGAGCAACTGAACGCCGCCTGGGGTCATTGTTTTGACCTTTTCTAGGGGTTATCAAAGTTAGAAAATGGGTGGTTGTTTCCCTTTAACCCATCACTTTGGGGGTGACCTTGATCATGATAATGAGGCCAGTCTGAGCGGCTTGCTTTTGCATCCGGGGTCCTGGCCAAGCCCTGCTGAGTTTTGAACTCCCAGGGTTGGGAAGAGTATGGGCGGCCTCATTTTTGCCAAGGGCATTGTTCACTTTGGGGGGAAAACCGACAAATGAATCCGTGAAAAGTTGTTTTCACCCGGGGAGAAAGAAGAAGAGAACGAGCTTCTACACTTGCCCTCCCTCTGGCGATATCATGGATGTTCCCGGGCCAGGTTTGCCAATGGTAGATTTGGGAGCTTCCGTGGATCGCCGGGATTAGTTCGAGCGAAGAAGGGGCATTGGGCCGGCTGCGATCAGTCAGCCACAAAGAACCTACCCATCGTTCCCTATTCAGCGGATTCAGCGGAAGCTTGAGCTGTTGAGACTCACAGGAGACCTACCGCAGATGTTCAGAAGGGCCGATCCTTTTCAGAAAGCAAAACCACCAATTGCAATTTCCGGGCCATACGGGCCCAAACTTGTGATCAGGATGCAGTTTCTGAGTTTCTCTTTGCAATTCTTCTAGCCTTGCTTGCTGGCCAAGCGGGTTTTTTCAACTGGGGCAATTCCTATTTAATTATCTAGGGACGGGTGTTTCATTGCCATTCCGGGGGATGGACAAAGTTTCATGCCTGGAAGGTGGGGGGGTGGGTGGTATTTGCAGGGGTCCCAGCTACAGCTTTTGCGTCTGGATTTTCCCTTGACGAGGGTCCAACTCTGTTTTCTACGGGCTCACTGAATTCTTTTCGCTCACTTTCTCCTTTAGACACCCTTTTCCTTGGAGATTTGGCATACCTTTGTAAATAGAAGGATCCCCGGAAAGCCGAAGGTTCGGCTAGATGTTGTCCTGGGTCCAAAGGGAACCTGTTTCAACATGTTTCACCACCTAGGAGCAACCTGCTTCTGGCTGCCCTTTTTCTTGCTGGTTCTCCGTAGGGCATCAACCTTGGCGTGGGAATGAACCGGCAGGGGATTCCCTTTAAAGCTGAAAACCATGGGCCATGTGGTTTTCCTCGGGGCTCCAGCTCATTCCCTGCCGATCGGACCTGCCTATCGAGGTGGCCTGCGAAAGCTTCCGGCTGTCCATCCTGCAGCAGGGCGGGCCTCCGCTGGACCCGGCGAAGCTGCATGGCCGCCATGAGGAGATGGGCCTTTCTGTCTGAGCGGGCGGGGGCAAGGAGCGGACGCTCTGCGGAAGCATCAAACTAGCGCCCCACAAACACACAAGCAAGCAAGCAAGCTATCAAGAAAAACAAAGAGGCAGAGTAAGTACGCAAGCAAGCAGGCAAGCAAGCAAACAAGCAAACAAACACACAAACACACGAACAACCGAACCCACCACCCCTCCAAACACACCTCCAATCTTGGTCTATTGTCTATTTTTGGTTTCCCCAAGCGGGTGGGTGGCGTGTTTGGGGTCCTTCAAGTGGGATGTGACTTAAGGGAGGGCTCTGAGGTCCGTGTGTAACTTAGTTAAACCGAGGCGTTTGGTGGGGAAGAGTCTGTTGAGTCGGTGCGGGTTCAACCTTTTGACCCTTCATTCAAGGAGAGCATGAATCAACACGCGAATGCCTCAAACAACCGTGGATCGAAAGATATCGAAAGGTAAGTGTTAACCGAAAAGTCCCGAAACCTCGGAGGCAAACTGCAATCCTTTACCAGGAGTCTTCCCTGTTTTGCGGCTGTGGGAAGGCGGTTCGCCTTGGCGGCTGAACTACGTGGCCTTTGGTTCGTTGAGGGCTTGCTTTTGTAGAGCTCGACCCCGGCCTGGGGTTTTGGGGTGGTGGTTTGTAGTTCTGTGTGCCCGCTTCGTGACTCGGGTTTTCCATGCCCGAGGGAAGCTTGGTTTTAGGCTGCCACTTTCTGTAATACCTTCCAAAATCCAACTAGTAACGTTTAGAAGCCATATACTCCATACTCCTTCTCCTGTTGGATTCGGAGAACCAGGACGCCCATTGAGCTCCCATATCTTTCAGGTTGAAGGTTGGCCAAGTCCATAGGGAGGCCCGAAAGAACACGTCCTTTTTTGGTTCCTTTGGATTTCCCTTAGAAACTTGACTGCTATTGGGTTGGATCTTTAGACTTTATTTATGTTGGTTCAAATCAAGTTGGCTTTTCCACTAAGCCCACACAAAGTGAGCAACTTTTTGCAGAGGGGTCAACAGCAATCAAGGAAACCCAACCCAAACAGGGCGTAGCGAAACCCTTCTCCAGAATTAGTTCCCCTTGTTTTTTGTATTTTTCACGAAAGCTAGCTTGCTAGCTGGAGTCTTTTCTTGCTTTAGCAAGGTCTTGGGGGGCTGACGGCCCTCCACTTATTGATCGTATCAATAATTTGAGCCCCCCCCCACCCCCCTCCCCCTCCCCCTCCCCCCCCCCCCCCTCCGCCCCCGTATACTTCAGAGGCCACGGCTAAGAGGTCAATTTTCAGCACGCAGGATGAGTGTTTGCTCAAGTGCGGGGTCCAGCCAGTATGCGAGCCGGGATGCCAACCTGAAGCTCGCTCGTAGGAGAGAGAGCATCAGGGACCTCAAGACAGAACGGCTGGCTTTTTGGGTTTCTGCAACTCATAGAGTTTCAACTCTCCGGTTCCTGCAGTCGCATTTATGGCTCAACCCAGGGAACAGTTAGGATCTTGATTTGGCAGCGCATCAGAGTTTGGCACTTTTCAAACTCGTGACTCAATCGTTTGTCCCTGTCAGCGTAATTCCCACATTTTTCTCAGGTCCATACATGGGCTGTGCGATAGCTGTGGCAATGGCAAATGAAGAGCTTTTACAGAAGCTGCGGCGGCGGTTTGGGTTTCTGCAACTCATAGAGTTTCAACTCTCCGGTTCTTGCAGTTGCATTTCTGGCTCAACCCAGGGAACAGTTCGGACCTTGATTTGGCAGCGCATCAGAGTTTGGCACTTTTCAAACTAGTGACTCAATCGTTTGTCCCTGTCAGCGTACTTCCCACATTTTTCTCAGGTCCATGCATGGGCTGTGCGATAGCTATGGCAATGGCAAATGAAGAGCTGTTACAGAAGCTGCGGCGGCGGTTTGGGCCCCAAATGGACAGATGGGATGGGATCTGCTGACACACAGACACACCAGCATTGGCGTCCTTTTTAGGTTTCGAGGGGCGGACCTGGCGCTCCATTCCGAGCCAGAACGGCTTGGAGCTCAGGGCGCAAGTGCTCTGCTGCCGCGGTTGCTCTCCAAGTATAGGACACGAGCCGTTCGAGTTTTCCATGCTTGACTACCTGGCAGCGCTTCCTGAGGTGCTTTCACAGGCTGATGGAGAAGAACGAGGCCGAGGCTCACAATTGTGATCATCGCCGATTCGTTGCCGAGGTTGTTCTGCAAGTATTGGGTACGCCTTAAAAGCTTTTCTTATCCTTGGATTCCCTTCACACCACCCCCCCAAGAAGGATACCCTCAAGACAAGCCACACGCACAGTGTGGCCCTGACAGGAGCCGTTCGAATTTTCCATGCTTGACTACCTGGCAGCGCTTCCTGAGGTGCCTGTGAAACAATCCCAAAACGGATACCCACGCTGACTGTCTATGACTGCCTAAAGTGAGAACTGCCTTGACAGAGCCTGGTGATCGAAGCAGAAGCTGAATGCTTTTTCATGTGGATAGCAACGTGTCACGTGCCCCCGGCACTCAGTTCTCGACCCTGGTCCTTTCGCATTTCCTGGCCTCAGTGCTGTGCAGACCATACTCGAGGCTCTACCTATGATGAGTGCGCGTGGGAGAACCTAGCCTTGGCAGATGCGCAGGTTAAAATCAAAGACCTTTTTGGATGATAAAGGGAAACCAGGCCGAGAGCAACCCCCGCAAACATGTTTTTGAGCCTGGGTTCTTTCACAGGCCGATGGAGAAGAACGAGGCCGAGGCGCACAACTTTGATCCTCGCCGATTCGTTGCCGAGGTTGTTCTCCAAGTATAGGGTGCGCCTTCAAGCTTTTGTTTTCCTTGGGTTCCCTTCAAACCACCCCCCGCAAAAAAGATACCCTCAAGACAAGCCACACGCACAGTGTGGCCCTGACACGAGCCGTTCGAGTTTTCCATGCTTGACTACCTGGCAGCGCTTCCTTGAGGTGCTTTCACAGGCCGATGGAGAAGAACGAGGCCGAGGCGCACAACTTTGATCATCGCCGATTCGTTGCCGAGGTTGTTCTCCAAGTATTGGGTACGCCTTAAAGCTTTTCTTTTCCTTGGGTTCCCTTCAAACCACCCCCCCAAGAAGGATACCCTCAAGACAAGCCACACGCACAGCGTGGCCCTGACAGGAGCCGTTCGAATTTTCCATGCTTGATTACCTGGCAGCGCTTCCTGAGGTGCCTGTAAAACAATCCCAAAACGGATACCCACACTGACTGTCTATGACTGCTTAAAGTGAGAACTGCCTTGACAGAGCCTGTGATCGAAGGCAGAAGCTGAATGCTTTTCCCTGTGGGATAGCAACGCTGACACGTGCCCGGCACTCAGTGTCTCGACCCTGTCCGTCGCATTTCCTGGCCTCAGTGCTGTGCAGACCATACTCAAGGCTCTACCTATGATGAGTGCGCGTGGGAGAACCTAGCCTTGGCAGATGCGCAGGTTAAAATCAAAGACCTTTTTGGATGATAAAGGGAAACCAGGCCGAGAGCAACCCCCGCAAACATGTTTTTGAGCCTGGGTTCTTTCACAGGCCGATGGAGAAGAACGAGGCCGAGGCGCACAACTTTGATCCTCGCCGATTCGTTGCCGAGGTTGTTCTCCAAGTATAGGGTGCGCCTTCAAGCTGTTGTTTTCCTTGGGTTCCCTTCAAACCACCCCCCGCAAAAAAGATACCCTCAAGACAAGCCACACGCACAGTGTGGCCCTGACACGAGCCGTTCGAGTTTTCCATGCTTGCCTACCTGGCAGCGCTTCCTTGAGGTGCTTTCACAGGCCGATGGAGAAGAACGAGGCCGAGGCGCACAACTTTGATCATCGCCGATTCGTTGCCGAGGTTGTTCTCCAAGTATTGGGTACGCCTTAAAGCTTTTCTTTTCCTTGGGTTCCCTTCAAACCACCCCCCCAAAAAAAGATACCCTCAAGACAAGCCACACGCACAGTGTGGCCCTGACACGAGCCGTTCCAGTTTTCCATGCTTGACTACCTGGCAGCGCTTCCTCAGGTGCTTTCACAGGCCGATGGAGAAGAACGAGGCCGAGGCTCACAATTGTGATCATCGCCGATTCGTTGCCGAGGTTGTTCTCCAAGTATTGGGTGCGCCTTAAAGCTTTTCTTTTCCTTGGGTTCCCTTCAAACCACCCCCCCAAGCAGGATACCCTCAAGACAAGCCACTCGCACAGTGTGGCCCTGACAGGAGCCGTTCGAATTTTCCATGCTTGACTACCTGGCAGCGCTTCCTGAGGTGCCTGTCAAACAATCCCAAAACGGATACCCACAATGAAAGCAAGATGCACAGCAGTGACGAAATTTGCAGCGATTGTCGCCGACACAATGTTGCCACAGGGTCAGTCTCAAACCATTTGAAGCTTGATTGTCAGTAAGTGTCACTTTCTCGTAGCAGCTATGAAATTGTTTGTCGGAAGCCAAGCTTGATTGTCAGACAGTCTCACTTTCTCGTAGCAGCTCTGAAATTGTTTGTCGGAAGCCGCCATGAAATTGTAGCAAGCGTCACTTTGCAGGGACACTCCCAAGCCTGACAGCACACACCCTTCAGAAGGTGCATAAGACACTCCGCTGCCTCGCCAACCACTTCCCCACGCATTTTCTCTTGTTGCATCAAATTCAGCAGAGACGAAATCATTCGAGGTGCCGCGCTGCTTTCGGAAAAGAAGCCGACTGTCTTTGCAGCAGGAGCGTCATGTCAGCTGCAAGCATTCGTGATGCGTGCCCGCTGCCGGTCGCGGACTCTAGCCTGCGATTTCTTGTGCCACCGACTGGGGCCCTACTAAGGGCCCGGCAACAGCAGCTTCCTGTCCTCTGATGCTTTAGACACGACCTTTCACGTAGTCACAGACCCCACCCCAGGAGAGGGGGATGAGAGGGGAAGGAGGAGGAAGAGGAGTAGAGAGACACGACCTTTCACGTAGTCACAGACCCCACCCCTTGCTTGCTTGTGAGACAGCCGCCATGTCTTCTTTGCTGGTCATCTATC